TCTAGAAATTTCTAGAATATAAAAATCTTATTTTCATATCATGGTCACGGTCATGGTCCTCCCGTTGTTCATCGATTTGCTCAAGCGGGCCCAGTAACATCTCCATCATGAGACTTGTTGTTACTGTGTTTGGTATATCGAATACATCAATGGGTAGCTTGCCAGGCTCTGCCCTGCGGGCGAGATACTCTCGGTAGCTTGCCGGGCTCTTTTCATATATATCCTTCTTAAAAATTAATCTCTTTTTTTCTTTTTCCTTTGCTTCTGGGCCATACCTATTGGTACTCAGAGCTTACTGCTAGCTCTGTACTCAAAAACTCACTCTTGGCGTAACCCTGGAGACCATCTGGAGTGCCAGAAATTAAACCGTGTCAGCCTAGAATAAGGCTAGGTCACGTTACCTGCTGTACCATCTCTCAGGCCCTTCATCAGTTAGATTTTTATTTATTGTTTTTTGTTTTTTTTGGGGGGGTGCCACACCGGCATTTTCAGGGTTTCCTCCTGGCTCTGCACTGAAGGATCACTTTTGGTGGGCTCAGGAGACCCCATGGGGTGCCAGAGATCGAATCCAACTTGGCTGCAAGCAAAGCAAATGCCTTACCTGCTGCCTCCCTTAAATGCCTACCCCAATACAGTCCCTCAGTTAGATTTTTAATGGAGTTTCTTTGATCTTAGCACATACTAAGAGAGCTAAAGTGACCGTGAACTTTCAGTTCAATTGTTAAGTCAATTCTGAGAAGATTCATGAACTGAGGAATGGAGAGAAGTAGATACAAACAAAGCAAAGGAAGATAGATTTATACAGAAAGCTAATTTTCATCAAAAGGAAAATAGGTTTCTCCTTCAACATAAGGGTGTACTCATTTGTTTTTCATATTAGTAACTTATTTAATATGGCAATGGGCAAAAGGCAATCAATTAAAAAGCAATTTCCCTCTTGCCACAGGGTATTTTATCATTTGACATCTAGCACTCAATCAGATGTACAATCCTTTAATAATTTATGAGCGGAAAAGAGCTCATTTGGGCATGGAGACTTCAGAAATAGGGGAGTGTTTTGTAAGCCTTCAAGTAGCCAAAATGGCCTTCCCATTAAATGAGAAGCAACAGGTCAAGCTGGAGAGCACTAGAGAAAGCATTGATCCAAACTGATTCCCAGCACGTACACACTCAGACACACACACAATGGCTCATAGCTCAGAGGAACAGGCTTCAGTCCCAGCTTCCATTCCACTTTACGGAGTGCTAGTTCCTGGGAGCTAAGGATCCTATATTCAGTTCATCCCTGCACATACAGCACCCATGACAGTGGCTGAAACATTGGTGGAAGCAGATTCCTAGTTAACAAACATATCTATGACTCCGCAGCCTACACTAGGTTTCCCCATGACTGAAGCCCCACAGAGGCTGCGGGAATGATGGGGTGGTGGGTGGTCACTTTAGGGGCCATAGGGAGCACAGTTTCTACTTGTTTGCTTAGAAAGATCCTTCACTCCAGAGCAATTTTTTTCCTGAAAGGGAGCAATATGCCAAATAAGACTGGGAACCTCTGGTGCGATGTATGAGTGTATGAGTGCACCCTTATGTTGAAGGAGATACCTATTTTCCTTTTGATGAAAATTAGCTTCCTGAATAAATCTATCTTCTTTTGCTTTGCTTGTATCTACTTCTTTCCATTCCTCTGAGCATATGGCAGGTTCCGGGTGCCCAGGGCCAGTCTGAAAAGATAAGGCTTGGACAGCTGAGGCCAGATGACAGAAGCATCTCTCAGGAAGTGAGGCATGGAGAGCCATGTGGTAAGTTCACCTGAAATCCCAGTCTGGTTATGTACGTTCCTGATGACTGGCATGTCTGAAGAAGTTTAGAAGAATCCACCTCACTGCACTCCTCCTCCCCCTGCACTCCCACAGACCTGACATCCATCTGGGAAAGCTCCTGACACCCTCTTCCCTCCAACTCACCAGGGAGGGGCTCACTGAGCTGGCCAGTCAACCCAAGTCTCCATTTCCACTGCCCACATTCAGGCTGCACCTCCAATGAGCCCCAGACCTATTGTGCCTTTCACTTCTGGCACTTCCCTTTCAGCCACAAGAGAAGAACCAAAAACAATGTGCTTAACAACAGCTCAAGTCACACCAAAAACAAAAACAAAAAATCTCTTTACGGGGAAAACATTAAGATGTGTGTGAATAAGTGAAGCCTGTGAGTTTCTACTGAGGAAACAGGAAAAAGAATCCAGTGTCTTCCTTCTTCACTATATTCTCTTCTTCCTCCACCTTATCTGTACTGATCTAAAGAATGAGAGATGCATCACTCTTAGTCAAAGAAGAGTAAAAATGTGGAAAAGGCAGGTGCCAACCACTGTCAGCAGGATGGGGATGGATGAACAGAAATGTCTTTGGGGGAAAGAATTGAGGTGGGGAGACAAGGCAAAGACATGGCACAATAACAAGGGCACAAGAAGAGTCAGCCACAGAGACAAAGGCAGTTCTCTAGTTTCTGAAACTCTCATGTGGATTAATAAGACTTTTTAGCAAGTGACTTTCTAGAGTTTGCTGCCCTAGATTGAGCTGTACTTGGAACTCACTATTATCAGACTTAAGAATTCAGTAGCGGAAGACATTGTATCACCAGAGATCTCTCCGGGTCCCACACCAAGCCAATTTCACTGTGGTGCCTCAGATGGAGCAGGTGTGCTCTACCTGTCCACTCCAGATGAAGTACCGGCAACCACAAGCTGCTAGAAGCAAGGTCCAGGTATTTCGGTTCCAGGACTAAGACTCCAGGCCACACAGTGTCGGCAGAGGAGTCAGGCCATCCCTCCCTCGCTTCTCGCCTGCTTGGCATCCTGACTGTCATGCCCACAACCTGCCTCCAGGTGCCATCTTAGTGCACCAACAGCCTGGTCCAGGGACTTCCAATTCAATCCCAAAATGGAATGGCACCATACAGAGATGTCTCTGAACCCCAACCATTTACAATCTTGGAATTCCAGAGGCGCAGGGCCACAAAAGCGGCTGTGTGACCACTCAGCATATTTAAAGTGAACAATAGAAAATAAATTATCTAGCATCTGCCCCTGACAGGCAAGCTTGAATGGTGGTAGGAAAATTCGAGCAAACTATAATGCCCCAAAGAAGAGAGAATGTATTGGGGAAATTGTCTGTCATAAAGGTAGAGTAAGGACTGGGATGGTAGGGGGCGAGGGGTATACTGGGGACACTGGTGGTGGAAAATGTGTACTGGTGGAGGGATTGGTGTTCAATCATTGCATAGCTGAAGCTCAAACGTGAAAGCTTTGTAACTGTGTCTCAGGATGATTTAAATAATTAAAAAAAATCAGTAGGGTGATTCAATTCTTCAATTCATCATCCTATGAACAAACAGCTAAACTGTAGATAGAATATCTATAAATTACTCTAATAAGGAGCAGAATCTAGGCAAAGTAAAATGTAAGTAGTGGCGACCAGTTAACCAAGTATACTGACACACAAATCTCTCAGATAAATGGTCTACTTTTTTGATGATGAAACAGAGGTTTGTACTCCTAAGTTATTTGGATTTGTTTGGCCTGAGTTATAACTTAGAAACTCATGTAGATTCCTAAGTAACAAAATTTCACCGCACTGCCATGTCAAGTTTAGCTTTTTTTCTCCCACCCTTCCACAATCAGAGGATAAAGACTCACACTGTCCTTGGCCAAGCAGCCTCAAGTCTTCTGCTTTTCTCATACTAAGTTCTAGTTTTCCAGTTTACCTTAGCAGTATCTATGGTCTTTTATACTGTATGTGAAACATGACTCCCTTTCCAACGTAATCACCAATGCACTTCCCATTATCATCTCAGACTATTATTTGAAGCTCTTAAGTGGTGAAAAGTGTAATCATGCTCTCATAATAGTACCCCAAATTCAACTTCCTTCTAGTCTATGTAGTCTTTCTTAGAGTCCACATTATTCACATACAAGGCATGATTACAGGTGTCAACTCTAAAATTGGGGAGAACAGAAGTTGGTACTTTTAAGGAGGTTCAACATTCATAGTGATTACGGGAACAGATGAAACCAGATTTACCACAATAGGTTAAAAGTCAAATTATAACAAAGAGCAATATAAGCATCACGCCCTCTTATTCTGAATGCCCTCCCCGCAAATTTGTAATTTAAGTAAGAAAAGTCCATAACCATAGCTAATGATCAGCTACACATTTTTATTTAATAATTTTATTTGTTTGTTGGATGTCACTCCCAGTGGTGCTCAGGGCTAACGCCTGGCTCTGTGCCCTGGGATTGGGCAACCACATGTGGTTTGAGCCGTGTTTGGCCATGGACAAGGTAAGTAAGGTAATCACCCTTCCTACTGCACTACCTCTCTGCCACCAATCACCTATTGTTTTAAATGTAAGTTCTTGTTTCTGGGGAAAAGCATTTCAAACAATTGGAAGCAAGAGTTCTTACTGAAGTATTCAATTTTTTCTTAAAAAAAATGGTTGGGGGGGGGTGGCAGCCACACCTTGCAGTGTTCAAGACTTACTCCTGGCTCTGTACTCAGGAGTTACTCCTGGTGGTAGTTGGGGGACCAATGAGATGCTGGGGATCAAACCTGTGTGCAGGGCAAGCACCCTACTTGCTCTACTATCACTCCAGCCCCGAGCGGGCCCAGTAAGCCCCAAGGGAAAAAAATATTTCTAAAGAAGGAGAGGAACATGATCTTCCTGAAGATTATAAACTGGAATTTAAAACAAATCCATAATTTTTTTCCTAAAAGAGTCTCAGCGTACCAAGCACAGGTGGTGTCAATGCACACTAATCTTGTATAGTCGAAGTTCAGTCATAATGCCTGAACATTTTCCATCCTGCAGATTTTAATTATTCCCCTGCTTCCTCCCCTGCGCACACAGGCAGAGGTGGCATGCTGGAAACCTATGCCAAGAGTTTCTGGTGCAGCCTGAGCACAGAGTTGCCCGTGCAGCTGGGCCCCGCAGGAGCCGGGGGTACTCACGCAGTTCGCCCACTTTCAGAATCTCGCACAGCATCTTGGTCAGCTCTATGCTGCTGCGGCCAAAGGGACACTCGTGCTTGTCCTCTCGGCTACTGTTCTCGAGCACAATCTGCAATGGAAAGGGACACAGGAAGGGTCAGCAATGAGGAGGGGATACCAGGCATGTCGGCTTCACCCCAGGAGAAAGGAGCTCTCCCCAAAACTGCCACACTGAGGCCCTCGGGAGGAGCAGAAACGAATGTCCGCAGGTTCCAAGGCTTGTGGTTTCCAACTGTCCTAAGACTTTCTTTGTCCCATAAGAGGGCATTTAGCTTGTTTTCCTTTTACATGGAGGTGCCAGTGCAGTTTTTCAAAACAATACAATAGTGTGCTGATACAAGACCCTTAGTAGTATTATGAATTATGCTACCTAAATGAATTTTGAAGCAGGTTTATTTAAAAATAAAACTAGAATAGAGTTTTATTTTTTCCCCCAAATATGAATCAGACTAGGAGGTATTTTTGTTATTAGTTTTCTTTTAAATTAGAGAGGTGATTTGCCAAATGTTAATACCAAGTTTTACATGAGAGTTCTACACTTATTTTCTCTCAGCCATCTCTTCCTTTTCTTAGGCTACGTCACACACCACTTCTGTCACTCTACTTCTACATGCCATTCATGTACTCCTGAAGTGTCTCCACATCCTTTGAAGATCTCACCCAAGCATTCGTTCACGTGACTATGCCTGAGAGACAGTGACACAAGCTGAGCCCTTCCCTGAGACATGGAATACAGGAGGGGGGAAATGGGACTGGTCAGTGGACCAGGCCCAGGGAGGAAAGCCCATGAGACCTGGGCGAGGACCTGAGAAAGAGGTGGACATGGGAGGAAATGGAAAGGGAAAGGAAAAGAAAACTGGAAAAATGAAATTGAACAGGAAAGGAGGAGAGAGGCGGACAGGGGGAAAGAGGAGAGGAGCAGGGTGAAATGCAAAGTGGAATAGAGAAGCAGCAGAAGGCCGGGGCCATGGACCGGCCTCGCGTGCTCTCATTGCACAGCCAATTCCCTACCCTCATGCTTTGCCCATCTATTCTTTGAAACATCTTTTGATCTAAGAAATTTTTTGATCTAAACAATTCTCCTCTAACTTAGGTTATTCTGAGAAGTTCCTTCAGAACTAAGGGAGTCACTCTATACAAGGACTGAACAAAAATAAAACTGAAGAGTAACGCCCCATTTTAAAACTACCAAATCTCAAACTGATCTATCAAGCAACCGAGTAACAGCGTGGCAGATGCCTCTCTTACACAGAACCTACTTCTCTGTCTCTGGTGCTGTGTCTCTCCCCCAGGGCCATCCCTGGAGGCCCTTCCAAAGCACCAAGCCAGGGTCTCTCAGGGGTACCCCAACATACCTTCCCACTGACTTACGTATCACTTGCCCCAAGACTAAAGACTCTGTGATGACAGAAACGGAATTTTATTAAGGTCTTCATCAGAATCACTGAGCACCTATTAGGCACTGACTAGGCATGTGTGGCGAGTAAGAAAAACCAGGGCTGGCCTCAGCGACATTCCCTTTAATTTCAGAGCCAGCTAAATTCTCAAAGGCTGCCAGCAGTAAAGAGCAAGAGTCTGGAAACAGGTGATCAAAGGCTGCCAGGGATAGTCATGCCACAGCTAATGACAAAAGCTGAGAAACCGCCCTCCTGTGGCATTAACACTTTTCTCCCTCTCTCCGTCCCTCCCTCTCTCCATCTATCCCTCTCCCCCTTCTTTCTCTCTCCCTCTCTCTCTCCGTCTCTCCCTCCTCCTCTTCTCCTTCTACTTCCCTCTCTCTCTCTCTCTCTCTCTCTCGCTCTCTCTCTCTCTCTCCCTCCCTCCACCCTAAGAAGTTGATGAACCATCCCATATTGTGAGGGATTTCTACTGTTTGCAGCATATGTTCATATAAATAACCGCAATGAATATCATCATGAATAATTACCTCCCTGTGCTTGGGACTTACAATGAAATCCTCCTCTATAATCTCTTCGGAGAATGCACACATGATCTGGATTGACTGTCTATGATAAAGCTGAATGTAAACTCCAACAAAATTCTTTCTCCTGGAGAACAGGGAAGAAGCAGAGCAAAAGACCTTTGAAAGAGGGCGCTCCCCTCACTGTCTTGTTTGGATGACTTGGGAGGTGAGGAAAGCCACTCAAGTAAGTCTGAGCCACTCTCTGACTGGAAATTCCTTTCGCATCTCAACAAAATTCACTCCAGGAAAGCGAAAGGGAAGGATAAGGAAAGACCCACTCCTAAGAGAATCGCTATTGCTCAATTCAGAATTCTCTCTGAGAGAACCATATCAAGATGCAAATCTACATCTCCTGATTGTGGGGACAGGAGTGAAAGGCGAAATCTCAAGATGAGATGAAAGGTGGAATCTCAAGCCAGGAACAGGTAGTTTGCAGCAGCTCCAGTCCCCAGAAGCAGGGCAGCATTCCCTGGAATGCATTTCACATTAACATTTCATTAACATTTCATGAACACATCAATACTTAATGAGGATGTGATCTGCATACAATGTAGGTAGAATTACTGCAGCCAATAAATGTTCTGGAAACATTTCCAAGGCACTGTTTATTAGCAAGTACTAAATAAAAGAGTAATTTAAGTAATCAATATGGAAATCAGCTTGAAGGAAATCTTCTTTTGTATCTTTAATATGCCATCCATCTCATCATATTTACTCACCCAAGGAAAGACATATTCACTTTCTTGATTGATTTCTACAACAAGCAGACACAAATCTTTAATGTTACTTGTATGGGTTTTAAGGTCAACATTCTTACAGAAATATTTTTGAAAAGACCATGGTTATGAATGTTTCTGGAAATATATTACTATAATGAGAGTAATTTTTAAGTTGGGCAGGAGCTTTTTGAAAAAATTTAACATGCTGATATATCTATATCAATCTTTATATTCTGGCATTAACCATGTTTACCTAAAACATCTTGAAAAGTTCTGATTGGAAATATCCAGGAACATTTTTCATCTTTTTTCACTTGTCAGTTTTAAGAGCAAATGTACTGGAACAGAAACCACAATGAGCGTAAACTGCCCCTATCATTCAGCTTAGCAAATACCATTCAGCCAAGGAAGCTGCAACTGTCTGCATACTTATAAAATAGAACACTGGCTATGTGCTCAGGAGTATAAAACACTGTATAAGATACGCTATTGTAAATATTCTTTCCTTCGAAATGATCCCAAATAAGCAGCAGATGAGTAAGCCAGGTATTATTATTATTCCCATGAGAACGATGAATGTCTTCTTATCTCATATATTCGTGGAGATCAATAATGATCACTGTAAATGACTAGGCTAATGTGGGTTTCTCCACAAACTTCTCCCCTGTAAGTCTGTCTCCCCACAGAAAGCACTCTTTCTTCTTGCTCCCCTTCTATGCAGAACCTAGTGGGCATTCAGTGGTGTGGAGAAGGACTATCACCCCTGTCCTCAGCTACCCACGGCTCCCAGGACCTTCTCTGGGCATCACCTAGACACGGGCTCAGCTGGTTCTCCTGTGCACTCTTCACTCTCCCCACCCACACAAACCCTGTCCATTCTGCTTTCTCTGGAGCTAAACCTAGAGCAAGCCTTCAGTGCTTCTCCCATCACTGGACCTATCTGGAAGTTTCTTTCCTACCCTTTTTCTTATTGTTCCAATTCTGAGGGACATATAGGAAGCACAGAATCTCACAGGATCCCCGGGGCAGGAAGTAAACATGTGCCACTGTTTTGATGTCTCCAATGATAAAGACTGTCCCTCCTGCTGTGCGTCCATCAATGGGCTACAGGAAACGTGGGTCCTGCCAAGAGCTGAGGCCGTGCTGGTGGAAGCTGGCACCCACATTCAGTCTCCTGATGACATGGACAGAAGCTTTCTTCAACCTATTTCACATAACTGCTGTGCAGGTTAAATCACAACACAGGCAGAAAGTCCCCAGACAGACTCGACAGAGCTGATGTTTCTGACCTCCTTGCTCTCCAGTCCTTTCTCTGTGCACTCTTCGTCAGCATTTCACACAACATTTTTACTAGCAAGTCAACCTAAAGCCAGGCTTCAGGGCATAGGATCCCTGCTGGGGAGCCCCTGGGATACATGAAAACTGACAAGTTTTATGTATCCAGAGTTTTAGCACGAGATAGGCAGATAATCAGTGTGCCACCTATGGTCACCACAGGGTCAAGATGGAAAGTTCCAGAAATGAGACCAAAGTAGGAATCTTCCAAGAACAAGGCAGGAGAGGAGCAGAGGTGAGCAAAGGCTGCAAACACGGGTCATGCCTGGGGCCATGCCCCCCCCCCCCCAGGTCCCACGCCGGTAGCTATGGCATCATAGGATTTCCACTCAAGAGCCCTGCCAATCTCACAGGCTATGTCAAAATGATCTTGTCCTCAATGACTCAAAAATACCAATCTTCTCTCACACTAAAAAAATAAAAGCTAAGAGCAAACAAAACATTCTATTGTGAGCAGTGGGGCCCCTCTTTCTCACCTGACACAGGGAAGGGCTTTACAGGAAAGACAGGATCACCAGAGAAGGTCCCAGCGTGAAGCTATAGATTCTATGGCCAGAACTAGATCTTCTGAGGCCCAAGCCCAGCCCGAGGCCTTTGCACAGAGAACAGAGGTCCATGAGGTTCCATTCCTTCCTACCAACACCAAAAGTAGCTCCCAGAAGCCAAAGCATAGAACTGGAAAGAACAGCAAACAGCTCTCAAGAGCTAATTATGAGTTATTTTTTCCCAGTATATATATACATATATATTTTTTTAATTTTTTATTATTAGCCAGGGCATGAAACTAAACAAACATGACAAAGTCCTTAGAAGACAAATCTAAATGAACATTTTTAATGGTTAGATTCTAAATTTCAAGTGACAATTTTATTTTTTTATTTATTTAATTTTATTGAATCACTGTGAGATAGTTACAAGCTTTCTTGTTTAGGTTATGATCAAACATCCATCCCTCCACCAGTGCACATTACCCACCACCAATATTCCTGGTATAGCCACCCTTTCCCACCCTGCCTTCACGGCAGACATGATTCCCCTTAATCTCTCTCTACT